AGGTAATTGATAGAAGAAATAAATGATGGTTCTTGACAAGTTGGTTTTTTTCCCCCCAAACTTCTCTGCTTATTTTGAGAGTAACACATGGATTCAAGATTTGGCTCACTCGCACGGACCCACCAATGTTACACCTCTGAATTAGCCATTGTTTATCTACTTCATCAGCATCATGAGTTTAAATGCTGCTTTCATTGTTTCCACAGTTTAAAAAGTGGGAGAGGGATTGTTTCAGTCAATGCACTGTGAATAGGTAAGGGCACATAAGAATGTAGGCAGACCAAAAATAATGCCTTCCTGGCTGGAAGCCTTCCAAAATAAGCACTACTGCATTGCAAGTTTAACTGCAGAGTTCTTCCACACTCCTTGTCCTTGGCTTCCTCTTCTTGCTCTTCCAAGATGCCAGTGCTACCACCCTTACACACACGTTTTCACAGTTCTACGATGGCACTGCGGGTGCCATTTAACAGATACAGCTGGGACTTCTGAGCAGTCAGTGAGTTTTTGGGAGAATTCAGCATGAGAACACTTTCAGTCTCGCCACTGACATATTGAGAACACCTAGGAAGTTTCATGTTCCTATATATGACACACCTTATTAGCTAGAAAGTTTATACTATGCTGTCATCAAGAGAAATTTTAATAACGTCCTTTCACAAGCAAACCAGAAATTCAAGTAAACTAGGATTCTCTTGTTTGTTTAGTATTTATCCCCACCCAATTAAATAAAAAACCCTATAAATAATAGTCTAAAGCCTACAAAACCACAAATACAGTACAAAACAAAAGATGTGAAATCATATAGAAACCACACTAAAATACAAGTTTTTGGCCCTGACACACACTGTACAGTCAGAAATGTTTCATTTAAGAGTGCTACAATTCCAAATGCAGAAATTCACAAAAATACATGAGAACATAAAATTTTAATGACTTGTCATTGTTTTCTTTTCTTTTTGTCAATGTTTTCTCTATATTGCAAAAGCAGCTGCATGACCCATATTAAAAAGACTGAGCTAAATGGTAACACACAGTTTCCAACTCAAAAACACAGACAAATTGCAGTTCAAGAGCTTTGGATTTAAAAAATAAAGAATAAAATAGCAGATTTCACTTGCTCTTCTATATTGCTTTTAAAACTTCAGTAGTAGACAACAAATTAGTCATCTAAGCCTTTACAAATTTGACACATTTCAAAGGATGACTGAAAGCTAAAAACCTTTTAAGTCCAGAAGTTCTCACTGCATGCATCATGTTCTCTCCTTCATGAGACTGGCATTGCTGCAGACAGACAACGATGCCTCAAAGAAAACGTGTGGGACTGATTTCATATAAACTAGAACTGCACGTGGCACGATTCATTTCAGATCCTACTACTGGATTCCATGAGAAAAAACTTCACATGAGTGAGAAAACTGTCTTAGAATCTCTGGCGTAAATCTTGAAATCAAAGCAAAAACACTCTGCATGAAAAACACCAGGAATAATAAATTTTAAAAGGCAATTATAACCAAAACATCAAGTAGAAACTCAAGAAAAGCATATTTTACATCTCTGTTAAAAGGACTGATAATGAAAAGAACGACTACCCAAAGCTCCTTTTTATAAACAGTTCCCAGTTTTGCCTACAGTCTCAGTTTCTGAGGTTACCAACTTCCCCCGAGATGTTTCACTGCCCAAGGGTGAGGATGGGAACTAGAAGGAAGATCATCCCAGTTCCAGGCCAAACACTCACAGCGCAGGCCACAATAGATATCTAAAAATATGATCTGCAGTTGCTATTAACTGCTGAGCTTTTATTCTTTTCCCATACAAATAATTTGCTCTAGTAATCATGAACAAGTGGCTCACAAACATCAGCAAGGTAATCTGCCCAGACATATCTCCAAAGTCAGGGACTGAAATCATTATGAGAAACAAAGGCACGTTTCAAAGCTGTTATTTGAAAAGCATTAAGACTAATGACTATTCATATGGGATAGAAGAAAATAGTTATGAGAATATTGTACAAGAATCACGTAATGTTTTGGGGCACAGCATGAACTACACCAATTACATTCAAATACATCTGCCCCCCCCCAGGACTGTAAGGCAGCCCAGTCCAAACATGTTAATACAGATAGCAAAATCTGTCAATAACTTCAGTTTGAGCAACCAGAGAACAAAAAGGGCTTTCTTGAACATTTAGCTCAAAGCCACTCATCCAGACACATAACAAAAGTGACAGGGGCAGAAGTGGCTGCCAGTCACACAGTTTCAAGGCTCCTCCACAAGGCAGGCTCTGAGCTTCATGAGTTATACGTCCACCAGTGCTCAACTAAGTGACTTTATCTTTGATCATTCTTCTCTCTTGGATTAACAAGCCCGTGCATTTGTAAAGCAGCTCGAGATGGACTTGGCAGTCCTGCTGATGACTGACAACCAGTGGACATGTTCTGAAAGCCAGCAGCAGCTCTGGTTGGTCCATGGCATCAGAGCAACTCAGGCACCAGGGCTGTTCTATGCTTTAGAGCAGAAAGCTGAGAATCACCTGATTAACAGAGGGCTTGATAAGTGACCAGGGTAACACCAAGCACTCTTTGACACATCCAGGGAATTCAAGTTTGAAATGAGAGGATTAAAATAAAAATTAGGTAAGCAGCTTATCAAGAACAGGTTAAGTTTATCCCATTTATATGTATGGCTTCTGATAGCAACATTTTGTTTTGTGTTTCATGCCAAACGTCAGAAAAAGACCATATAAAAACATGAAGTTACTAACACTTAAAGAATGCCATTTTATGCACAGTTACTAGACATATGAAATCCAACTATAGCTATGCAGCACATCCTTGATAACGTTCAGGAGACTGAATTTTACACAGAATTTAGAACCCAAATGTATGTGTTAAACTATATAAAGAAGCAATAAAAGTACAGCTTCAAACCATCAGAGGTATAAAAACAATCACAACTGGGGGGAAGGAAAAAAAAACAATACGGAGAAAAAAATTAATAAACACGTTATTATGTCCATTCTGCTGCTCATCTCAATTAATCTGAGTGCTGTACTCAAGTAAACTAAGGAGGGTGTTACTAACAGCAACTGGGTTCCGTTTACCAAATACTCAAGATGCAAGTATAATGAGTTAACAAAAGTGATGAAACCACGTCACTGCAATCAAGATTTATTACTTCCAGGAGCACAAACAAGGAGCTATTGTGTTCCTCTTCTGGGGTCCATCAATGAATCCTCTCACCTCGATCTGAAATTTCAATATCATCCAAACACCAAGAAAACCAATCACATACTATTCTATTTTTCCAGTTTTACTTCATTTGCAGCTGACTTTAGGTGACCTTCCAGAAAGTAGCTTGATTTAAAACAAGCTTTGTTTTCCTTGGAACAGGGAAGCAATTAGACATCACATCCACCTCGCACATACCAGATCAGGGAAGGGGGTTGTGCTGCCTCCCAACCCAATTCAGTCACCTAAATTAAAGGATCCCCATTTTTTGCTCTAGTAATCATGAACAAGTGGCTCACAAACATCAAGGTGAAAAGCAAGGTAGCTCTTTCTGGTTGCCAAAACACACAATTTTCTTTCAAAACAAAATATGTGATCAGATTCTACTCAAAGAAACCCACCTCCACTCCATCACGTGCCAAAAAATACAAGTAAAAAAGAAACTTTCCTCAAGCTACAGAAAACAAAGACTAGAGCACTGGAGATTATGGACTTCTGAGTAACATCTTCAGCAGCTGAAGCAAAGGTCTTCTCCCTGCAGGTCTTTACAGAGCCAAAGAATTTACAGTAGACAGTAGTATGACATCTTTTTACACTGTTAGGCTGCATTATAGGAAAGTGAATATTAAAGCAAAAAAAAAAAAAAAAAACACACACAACAAAATCAACTGCTCGTAGTTAGAAAAAATGTCCAGAAAACTACATTGGCACAGTGACAGGAAGGATGGGAATCTGTATACTTAGGTAGGATAAGTCTGTATACTTATCTGTATACTTAGGTGAAAGTCCATAAGACATTCACACCTCCATATTTTAAAGTTTCAAAAATTTAATGGCTAAAAACCATCAGAAGTTGTAGCCAGAAACCACTTAGGACTCATTTACAGTAACAGAAATGGATTTTTAGAGACATCTAGACAGAAGTACCCAAGGATTTTCCTTTTAAAGGGCCAGTATGTGAGAAGTTATTATTTCACCAAGCCACTAGATAATTGGTAGATACACTAATAAAGTTGTCATTTATGATCTCCAACTAAAATGCAGCTAAGAGCGAGTGCTGGCACTAATCAGCAGATGATGAGATTTCCTCCTTTCCCCCTGCAGTTTTACCACTCCTGAGCAAACGTTCAGACGTGATAATCAATTCCTCACTGAGGTGACTCCTTCCCATTTGCAGGATCTGTACATTTGACTGCTGATTATAGGCAAGCTTTGGCAGGTTCCTGTGGCAAGCTTAGAGTTAGTTCAGTCCCGCCTTCAGAGAGGAGACTCATGAAGGACAAAAAGATTTAAATAAAAATGGAGAGGGTGAGGAAAAAAAAAAAAGCAATATTAAGGCTTCAATGGCATTACTATAAAAAAAAGCCAGCTTCTAATAAGAATGTAAAATTCCTATTTTTAAGCTTTGCTACCCTCTGTGTGCTGTTGATTCTGCTGCTCACAAGTCATTTCCAGTGAAGTGAAGTAGGTTGGAAGCTCAGTCTATCATGCCTACTCATTTCCGACCCCACGCTGCAGAGTGCTGCTCAGAGGAACAGACACCAGAGTTCAGAGTAAAACTTGGTTGTTGGAGGGCACAAAAGCAACAAGAGCTCCCTTCGATAGCCGAGATGCTGAGGTAATGCTGAATGAAAGCAGTGGACGCAAACAAATGAATCGTAGCTTCAGGCTGGAGTAATATCAGGTGCATCTCTACACCCTGAGGGCTCAACTCCTACACTTCTTAAGTCCCTCCCCCTGAAACAACCTCCTGCAGTTTCACTTAGGGAGCCGGCAGCGAACAGGTACTTCTCTCTCAGCAGTGACAGCTACAGGGTAGCAACAGTGATCACCTGGAAGGTTTCACGCACCTATGTCTCTGGTAAGTACTCTTCTTTAAAGAATTTTTTCAAATACAAATGTGTTTATATTACAGCTGGAAAGTAAATCGGAGGTTTTCCTTTTTCAGCTGGCTCAGAAGCCTGGGTTCCTCCCAGCAGGTGCATTTACTGCACCACTTAAAGCTTTCGGCACAAAGTTTCAACAGGAGAGGGAAAGATTTTAGACTGTGCCAAAAAGGGACTCTTAGTTTTTACAGTAACTTGCTGGTGAAAATTTTTTTGTTCCTATAGAGAAAATTCAGGTATTATATTGAAGAATGACAGAAAAGCTGTATTGATAGGAATTGCTGCTTATTCTGCCAACTATTCTTTATACAGTAGGACTGGGTTAATCTGAAGAGCCTGTGTGAGAACCACGTATTCCGTTTCAGTTTTGATTTGTTAGTTTTCCAGCTTGTGGGAATGTAGCAAAGAAAACTGGATTGTTATGAGTTACCCTTTCTCTCGCCAATTAAAGTGCATTAAGATGGGGAGTTATTAAGTTAATATTTGCGAAGATTTTGTATTCCCATCCCCACCACCTCACCAGGCTGCTCGGTCCCTGCCGCCTCTCTCACAAGCACAGCCCTCACTCCCTGCACGCACACTTCCTTCCCAGCCCTCGCCAACCCACTCCTCTCGCCCATGTTTCCTCCTAATTAACAAACAGTTGTGTTAAAATTTATCTTTCAGTTTAAAGGAACTGGAAGTTTAGAAGGGAGTGGTAGTTAATCACTGGAAAATCTCAACCAGAATAAACCTCACAAATCTTGTTCTTGCAACACTCTAGGTAGGTGACAATGGCATGTCCTTGAGTTATGCAATAATGCCACATCACAATATTTTAATTATAGCATGTCCTTCAAAATGTTTCCACCCCAGTGAGTGCTCCTGGTCAGAGAGATCAACATCACCAAAGGATACTGCAATAATAATGGAGTGTGCATGACAAACTGTTACGTAGTTTGCTAAAGCAGTGTCCTAAAAAGACGCCTAATTACCAGCCCTGCTTGTAATAAAAGACATTTTGAAATTTCCCCTTTGATCAGCTGGACATCTTAAACAATTTAGACTGCTTTAAAAACTAAAAAACAGCAGGCATATATATATATATATGTACAAGTGTATATACATGTGTGTATGTATGCTTATGAATACATATGTATAAGTATACATACACAAGTATACATAGAAATACATTTTTATGCACTTACACATACACGCACACAATTCTAAATTATAACCTTATTTTCTGGCCTTGCTAATCTTTGTGAAAGCAAGGAGGCAGCAGCAGCACGACTTCTTCCTTCCAGTTTAAGCACGCAGCTCTCGCTCTGCGGCTGGACAGGGCTGTAAGAACGTGTGCTGCCGACAGAGCAAACAACTGAGAGCCTCAGGTTTAACCCATGATCTCAGTAACCTGTTTCCTATAGAAGTATAAATCAACACTACTGCTGCACTACAAAACTAGCAAGATTTTGTATTTCACTATCCACACTTCTCAAATCTGGCATTCAGGAGCTACACTCTCAGTTAACAAACAAAAAGGCATGAAAGCTATCAAAGCTATCATCCTGCTATTCAACATTTTTTTTCCCCATTTTTTAAATAATATCACAAGTTATGGGATTCCAGACTAAGTAAAAAGGAACTACTTATTTTGATTTTTTTTTTCTAATTCTAGATCTTAATTTCAGTCATCTAAAACATGCATTGTACAACTGCAAGTAACTAATGTTAATTATATACAGACAGTCTAAATTGCAACTTCTTCAAACCATTAGTATTCTTCTAGTTTTATACGTGTGTTCAAATAGTTTTAAATTTCTTTAGCTATGAAATAAGTACTTTTGCCAAATACTCCTGGGTTTTACTTTGAAATTAAAATTAAAAGTGTCCTTTTTGGCTCAGTTTAGAAATGTTCTACTACTGGCATGTTTAAGTCATAAGAAAAAGAAAAGGATTAACCATTAAAAGAGCATAACACAACATGAATCTGGCTGACACTAGTTTACTAAGGGTGAACACCCTTTCCAAATCAGCTCCTCGCTGTACCCTCTCAGGTGAGCGTGGCTGGCTCCAGAAGCGCTGTCTGCAGGCTGAGCATGCCATCAAAAAGCATTCCTAATTCCCTCCTGTAGACACGTTGCAAAGAAGCTGCCAATGCTCTGAATTTCTAACATTAAAACTGCAACAGAGCATTTTATCTTATTAAGAAATGATACTTAATATTCTGCAGAACAGGAATAACTTGAATCAAAGTTAAATACCAAGTACAACGTCGGGGTGAGGGGGAACAGGACGCACAGGAATTTACACTATTAAGCAAAGGAAAGCTAGAAGAACAAGAAAATCTAATTAACATCTCTTTATTATAAGTGCTGCACCTGAATGTAAATTCAGACTTATCATAAATGGCCAAACTAAGAATGCAGTGGAGTTTTGACAACAATATCTTCTTTTCAAGAACTATCAGTACAAGGGCTTCCAAGAAGATATAAAGAACGAGAACAAACTGACATGATCACGTCCATTACAAGCTGTCTGAGTTAGCTATGCACCATTAGTCAAAAGTAAATTCACTTAAGGCAAAAAAAAAAAAACAAAAAAAAAACAACCCACCAACCAACCAGCTAGCTACCTATCTGGACCTCCCACTGCAAATCTTAATTTTTATTTTTATGTATTTATTAAGTAAAAGCATTATTCTTAAACCTTCAGAGGAATGCAGGCTATTAGTTTTTAAATCCTACAAGGCACATTTGTTTTGTATTTTTATTTTATTAGTTTGAGCTACTATTTTAACCAGACTGCAGTGGCAGGAATTTAACATGCTGCTGGACATTTTGAGTAGCTTTCTTTTGTACTGCAACATTATCAGTGCCTATGAAGTCCAACAAAAAAGCTTTGTTAAAAGCTGAGAATTAAGAAGCAACGTCTCTGCACACTCCTACTTCCTTACACTGCCACAGATTTAATTATTTGTTAATTCCAATCCAAAGATGTTTTTTTCTATTTATACAGCAGGCTGCATTTTTCAGAGTGCTTTCACAATTACCATTCTAACACGAATTAATATTTCTATGACATCAGAAACAATATGTAACACAATTTCCCAGAATTACTATACCTGATAAAACAAGCAGCAATTCTGTAGCTTTGCCTTCTGTTTTCATAACGTGTTGCATGCCATTTTCTATTAAACTATCTGATTTAAGAAATGCAAAACATTTCTGCTTCAACTAAAATCTCACAGCATGTAATTACTAACAATTCTTTCCATAAACTTGATATTTTCACGCTACTAATCCAAACCTCTATGTAAAAAGCTTTAAAAAATAAAAAAATTAAGCTATCCTAGTCACTCCTACAATTAGTATTCCTGCAGTTTCGGGTAACACAATAGATACAGTACGTGGTTTTGCAACAGTCATCATTTTGATAATGATGCTTATAGTTCATGATGAAATCATCAGTTTTTAGATCTCTGCCATAACACATCCTATAAAATCATGAGAACTTGACTCTGAGAGTTTCTCACGCCTTCAGAATCAGCGAACATAATGGAACAAGCTGATACAAGCCCTCCTGACTTATCTACTGAGCAAATCATTAGGCTGTACAAAGTATCCACAACCTTACTTTTTCTGAAGAAAGGCAGATAGATCATGCCCCTGTAAATCAATCTGTCAGATGCTTTTTTTTTTAAAACATGAATTAATCTACTTGTGCGTCTGTCAAAGCGATACATAAGGTGCTCCACAGCAGAAGAATGTGAAATGTGTTTATCAAGCAGAATATACTATTAGTCAGATACTCCAGTACTCATTTCTCTTAATTGAATTAGGAAGAGGAAGAAAATTGGTGTGGTTTTAACCTTCGAGAGATTGGCCACTCTTGAGGTATCCATCGAGATTAGGCTGTTAGGAAATGCCATGCAGTTAAAAGAGGGGCTGGTCAGTCTCTGAAAGAGCCAAGTCAGCTACCCGAGTGCAGCCAATCCACTCCACCCTCATTTCACCAAGCAGGAAACTCCCTCCTCTCTTTCCCCAACCGGCCTGACAAGCTTGCCCCATACCCAGCCGCTGCCAGGACCTGCCTCTTCTCATTCTACCCACCTCCACTTCTCTCAATAGCTCCACCTAGATTTCTGCTTTCGTCCTCTGAATGAATTTTCCTTCAATTTTCACAGAAAACTCCTTCAAGTCCCCAGCAGCAGCAGGTGACAGCACTGCTGAAAACTGGGACACTTCTGCTAATATGTTTAGGTGCTCAACAACATTCCAGTTTAACGTGTGTCTGTTTTACATCTGGAGTCTAGCATTTGTCCTGTTTTACCAAAAAAAACACGCATTATAGATATAATGAAGGGGAATACAGTTTAAAAGAACTGTTTGTGTTTAGTTCCAATGTTCCAGTACAGCTAATTTTGAACTTTGTATTCCAGTGCTACCAGTTAGAGAAGTGCTGCTTTCCGGCACCTCCTCTTCCCTGAGACACCCTGGGAGTTGGCTTCCTCTTTTCACCTGGGAAGAAGGATTGCAGAAACCTGATAAACTGGAAACATCAAGAGGCTAAACTAAGGAAAGCTAACCACAAGAAAGCTTTTCTAAAGAATCATTACATTTAATTGTTTAAAGCAGAAAAAAAGATGAGTCTCCTCAAAGAGCGTAAACCAAAGAAGCCTCATTACATCCCAAGACCGCCAGGAAAGCCATTTAAGTATAAGTGCTTTCAGTGCCCCTTTACTTGCAATGAGAAATCCCATCTTTTTAACCATATGAAGTATGGCCTCTGCAAAAACTCCATTACTTTAGTATCAGAGCAGGACCGTGTCATCAAGTGCCCAAAGACCAGTTCCTTGGAGTCCAAGCAGATCAATCACCTAGAGCCTACAGTCAAACCCACTTCTTCCAAGTCAGCCACAAACGGACTGTCAAATCTCGATTCAAAGCCTCAATACGCTTTTCCAAAAGAAGATGCCAAGGAAAATGTTGAATTACAAAACCAAGCAACGAACACAGCAATCCAAGGTCAGAAACCTGCAATCCAGAAGGAAGTAACCTCTGCCAGTACCTCAGCAGAAAGCACCCTCGGCATGCAGCCTCTTCTGGACAGCATCGTGAGGCCCTCAGCTTTTGTTCCTGTAGGAGAACACAGAGATAGCAAAGGCCCAGAAACAAGTGAAGTACCTGAAATTCTATCGCTCCCCAACAAAAGTTCACCTTTTCACACTAAATCTGCATTTCATGCACCAAGTCACCCATGGAAAGCAGGTTCTCCTTTCCTCCCAGAATTTCCACATAAAGTTCCTCCCACAAAAGGCTTTGGTTCCATTCCTCCTTACATGCAACCGATGATTCCAGACTATTCGCCCCACTTTTATGAGCATAGGCTGGCCATCTATACACCTTACTTGCTTCCAGGTAATTCCGAGTGTGAAAGCTCTGCTCTGTCCGTCTACGGCACGCAAGACCAAAGACACTTTCTTCCTCACCCTGGGCCACTTCCAAAACACATAAATCCATCAGCATATGAACACTATCGGCTGTTCCAGCAGTATCATTCCACTCCTCCAATACCATATGGATTTTGTAGGCCCACGGATCCTCCTTTTTATCGATTTTCACACGTAGCCGGTATTAACAGAGATCAAAGTTCTCATCTAATGGAAGAAACTACTTTGTTATACCCAGCTTCTTTAAGTCCTTCCCAACAATATCCTCTAGGTTCGCACAAAAAACAAGCAGACTATGAAAAGGAAATAACATTACTGCATGCCAAAAGTCATTCCAAAGATGACCAAAATGAAAGAGAGAATGCTAAAATGAGCCCTCTTGCAGGGAGCGCGGCAACGGGCTCCCCAGGCAGGCCCAGCCCCACCAACTTCACTCAGACAAGCCACGCGTGTGAGGGCTTATTTGACCTCTCCAACAAATCGTCCTCCACATCACTTGGAAAATATGATCAACCAGAAGAAAACTTTACAGCTTTCAGACCTGTGAGAAAAAGCACTGATCAACCAGCACTACTTCCAAGCGTGCCAACACAGCAAGATAGAGAAGATTCACCTTCCAGGTAAAGTAATAGCATCACCTTGCAAATTCTTGTCAGATTCTTAGGGGCACACATAGACAGCATGCATATATTTCATGCAATCCCCCTAAAGTACATTTGCATTTATAGCACCAGGATTTGTTCTGTAAGATATGTCCACAAAACAGCTTTATGTACAACTGTACAAACCCCAGCTGCTATATGAGTCAGCTGCTCATTCATCTGAATGCATCAGGTATCTCTAACACCGTTACCATGCGTGTACCTGTGCATTTCAGGAAAACACTTCTATTGGAGAGAGAGGTATGGTGAAAGGGACCTGGGGGAGGGAAAAGATAAAAAACATGACTGTAAGACTACCAAGCCAGACTTTTTTTTTTCCCCTCTTCTCCAGTTCCTCAGCCTCAATTTTAAAAAAGCAACAGATATTGAATTCTCTTCTCTCCTCATGTCTTTCAGCATTAATGTCACTGATGAAGATTCATATACACCAAGTGAAAGCCACAACAATGAAGGTTCACTGTCCAACACAGAAGACGACACTGGAATAGCTCCCCTTAATCTTTCAAAAAAGGCTGACACAAATGCAGGACCTCCTCATGAACACACATACAAAGCCACATCCAAAACGGAGAGTCAGAACTTCCTAGAATTGCAAGATATGCCTCTGAACCTCTCGGTAAAAGATTCCTGTAACACAGTAAGCCCGAAAACAACATCCCACAGTCCATCTCATGATAATGGTGCTGCTACTTCTCCAAAGACAGAAAATGAGAACTCAGGAGCAGAAAGCTCAGGAGCATGCAACCCCAAGAACCCTATTAACAGTGCCTGTGACAAAGCTTTCCCAGCTCACCGCAACGAAGCTCAAGACTTACGCATCATTGACAGCTGCGATGAACAGAAACAAACAGCGGCTGTAGCTCTCTGTCAGCTAGCTGCATACAGCCCCAGCAAAGTTAGGATGGACAATGAAGGGCAAAGTCCTCAGGACTGTAATACTTTGAGTACAGAATCTACTCCTGACTCTTCTGATACTCAGGATACTCAGTGCAATCAAAAAGTAAAAGGACAAAAAAGGACAAATCAAAAAGAATCAGCAAAATCACAGCAAAGCACTAAAAGAGTAAGGCCAAATGACTGCAGCAGAGTCTTTACTTTGAGGAAAAGAACAAGAGTATCTTAATGCTCCACTTTCCAATTTGTTTCTAATCATAGAAATTAGTCGGCACCTATACAGAAATTTTCTACAAACCATCCCTTACTAGATCTGGTCCATGATAAGATACATTCAAACTCCCCTATGTAAATAATGTTCATAATTTTATATTAGTATTTTTAAATAATTGAGCGTTCCCTTCTATAAGCTCAGGTTTTTATGAGTGAATTTTTGCATTCATTACTAAAGCCAAAGCCCATTAGACAAATCTCCAAGGTTTTTTGCAATTGTATTACTGTAAAATAACTTTAACAACTTATTTTTCTTATAAGATGTTTAAGCTGTAGAAACAATACTGTTCAATAACATACTGTCAGTATTTTTCTGGATTAATTTTATTTAATAGAGTTTTTTTTGTCTTTTTTCTTTGAACAACTTTTTATTTCGTGGTTCAGTAGTTTAAAACAAGCTTAAGATTAGACCTGGCTACTTAGAGTTTACTGTAAAAACTGGTCAGGGGATGAATGCACTTCGCCATTACACCATAATGCAAAACAAAAGTCCAAATGACTCAGAGGCAGAGGCCAGCTTGAACAGACTGACCCAAACCTTGTACAAGCAAGTTTTTCTTGTTTTGGCTAAAAACAAGACTTCAGCTGAACCAGACACAGCCTGCACCAAGTTAATAAGCACGGTTTAGCTTTAACTGAACCTCTATGAAAACAATACTGAAAATATGAAGATCTAAACGATTTAGGTGCCTAATCCTCTGAGCTTAGACAGACACTGGGCAACCTTCAAACTCCAAACCTTGAAGGATATTTATATAATTTATTTCACCTGAGAAAACTCTCCTGGTGAAGGTTTTATTTCATAAAACACGCATCACCAATTATCAGTTTCAGCGTGCTTCTGAATAGATCCTAAAACTGCTAGTTCTGCTTCTGCAACTGTGTACATAAACTTGTAATTTTTCAAATAAATCTGTAACCTGTACCTAAAACGTTTGTAAAGTCATTCATGAACACAAATTCACTGCACTGTCTGCAACACATTTCGGGGGGAAAAAAAGGGGAAAATGTAGAATGTGGTATCAACTCTAAAAATGGAACTGCCTTCACTGAATAATTAATTCAGCAGAATAATACATCTGCACTTGAGCTCCATGTGAGAAGCCTTTGTGATAAAGCTGCTGCCTGGCATATCCTGCACTTCTCCAAAAGACTTATGTGAGTCTGTTCCACTGCATAAACACCTCACCCACATTTTAATAGTATCTGCTATCAGTGTAAGTAAAATAACTGCAGATTAACCATTATTCACTCAAAAATATGGGTATACATGAGTCGTTACTCAGATAATAGAGACTCATCTACTTGATCACTAGCAGCAAGCCTAAACCTTGGTAAGGAAGCAGAACTGCATTAAACACCCTGCAGCCTCCAGAATTTACTGCTTAATGTTTGTGCAATGGAGATCCAAGATAAACTATTTAGAATGTTCTGGCTAAGATGTTAACTTTAAACAGAAACTTTCAGGGATTAAGTTCTGAGTTGTTAAAGAAACAGAAGAGTAACACCATAGTTCTTTAATCTTCCATAGAGAAAGCTTCTCAGATTGTGAAAAGACAAAAATATCAATTTCAGTTTGAACAAAGGGAATACGGCGACAGAAAAAGTCCAGTCAAACCGTAACAGTTGGGCTGCCCTGATCCCTTGACAGAGGTCTACAGTTTCTGTTTAATTAGAAATGAAGACATACCACTGGATCACTTCCCAATCCTAAAATTGTTTTGGTTTTTTAATCATTTCATTTTTACAATACAGAGGGAAAAGCAATCAGAAAAGGAAAACCAGCTGAACGTGGTCAGCACAAAAATTCTCATGTTCCAAACTGTTACTATTTGGGATGCGAACTCTTTTCATGGAGACAGAATGATGAAATGCATTAAATATCATGGTTTACGCTTTTCTCGTGGAAGTCAACAGACCTCCAGAACAGAAAAGATGCAGCAACCAAACTCACTAATAAGAAATAACAGTTCTGGAACATCACTGAAAATTAGTGTTCAGTCTCTCTGTTCAAACAAGAACACAAGAGTGCTAAATGAGATCAAAACATCGAGCCCAGTCCACTGCTTGGAAAGTGCCCATTCTGTGTGTACTACTATACTGAGTTTTTGTCATTATAAAGCTATAACAGATTATCCAAAAATCACAAAAGAGAACTACTAAATTCACATCGATACCACCGTACTTTTGCCCTGTTATTTCTTTCCATTCTGATATTGCAAGAACCCATTAAAAAAAACAAAAACACAAATGAACTTAAAGCAGTTCATTGCATAAATTAAACCAAACTGTGTTTCTGAAATTTCATCAGAAACAGAATAAGCTACCAGCCTTAAAGGGCAAATTAGCTGCTGATTATTTCATATATTCTATTCAAATAATGGCATTGACAGTATAGAAGCATATAGATTATTTTTATACGACTGCACAAAGAAACATGGGGGAGAGGGAGAAATAAAACCCCAAGAAACTAATTTCATTTTGGAAAGAAAAATTTATTAAATAAGGCACATCCAAAACTCTAGACAGAAGTACCTTAAATATTCCCCCAGGCATATTTTTCACTCCGGAATTAATACTCAGTCCTTATTCAGCACACTCAGATCAGCAAATTTCAGTCTATTGCCATGTATTAAGTCTCTGAAACTACAACCTGCTAATTCAGGAACATAGTAACATTCAGCAACTACAACTCACCATCTGAAATTCGGGAAGGGAGTAACAATCCTCTTCTGCCTAATTCAGCCAGAGCCAGGCATCCACCGTGCCACGCATTGTCAGTTTCCTGGAAACTAATTTGAGAATGAAAACAAGCTTTGTTAAGGCTAACTTTGCCTCTCTGGATTACATTTTTTCATGGTGAATTCCTAACAATTTAAGACACAAACCTTTATCTTCTCTTTACTCTTGTTATACTTTTAAAACATAAGAATTGAACATGTTTCCTTCCCCATTTTGTGCAACATAAACACTGCTGTAAATATGAACAAAGAAGCAAAAAAGTAAAACAAAACCAATTATCAATATAAATGTAACTTCTTTGTGGAAGAAGACAATACAAGGGTCTCATGCAGAAAAGGAAAAGAACTTTCTGTGGCACTGCCAAAGATGCAGGTTTACAGAATACAGCCAAGACAACTCACTAATTTAATGCCAAACACAATCCTTTACTAGAAGGAAAGGCTCAAGCAGTCTGACAAAAAGATTATACAAGCTCATGCATTTCAAATGAGTGAACAGTGGTGTTCAGATGCCTCAAAAAAAAAAAAACAAAAAAAACAAAACCAAAACAATGACTTGTAGTGAACACAGGAAAAAAAAAAACTATCAGTGTACAGTTCTTGATGGACTGGGAGATAAAGGAGTGAAAAGGGAAGTTTGTACGCTGCATGATTAACAGTTAATTAGTCAATTCTGCATTAAACTAGGAATAGGAATCTAAGAGTAAGATACTAAACAACTAAACTAGGTCATATCAAAGCTTCATCTCTCCCAGGCATACTGCCTCTGAAATGGACCCATAGCAGATGCTCAGCCAAAGACAAAGCACAAAAGATCATTCCCTATTAGCCTCCTCCTGGCTTCGGCAATCAGAAGTACAGGACTTCCCAAGCCAGAATGTCATATTTAATAACCTCTGATGGGACTCCCATCCATTAATTTGGATAATCCCTTTCTGAACTCCCTTAACACTTCTGGCTTCCATAACATCCTGTGGCAATGACTTCCACAGTTTAATTGTGTGAAAATGGACTTCCTGATGCTTCTCAGTTCTCATACTATGAGAAAGAGTGAACAGTAAACAATTGCCCGCTTTCCCTTCTTCATATTTATGGTTTTATGCACCTCCTCTATATCCTCCTACCTTTTCTTTCCCACATGGAAAAGACATCAGATAAATCACATTTAACACCTCAGCTTTGTCATCTCTTCCTTTCCTAATATCTTACACCCCACTTGCCTTCCAGAAGCTCCATTGACATGGTCACAGAACCATCAAACTATGCACAGTGAATTCAGGATCTCTTTCCTGAATAATATTAACTGGTTTCTCACTGTCCATTTTCAGCCCTAAGTGCATTAATTTGCATTCATTAGGCATTAGATATGTCTTTTATAGTCTAGTTACTTAATTTAAGGCTGATATATCATCTTTTCTACCACCTTTAGCTTTCACTGTATTATCTAATTTAAATCATTACTCTGTTTCATCTCCCCACTGTTTGCCTTCTTTCCAGGATAGCTTTGGAGTATTTTGGATAGAACAAGGCTTGCACAGATCCTTGCAAGACTGTGCTGAAGACCTCACTGCATTGTGAAAAATTATTTCTTCCCTGCCAACTGCCTTTGAGTCTGTGCATAAGACATCCTTGCTTCTTATCCTCAGAAATACAATTTAAACTGCCAGTGATGAGCAATTGACGTGTTATTTTTATTTTGTTCACTGTGTATTTAGTGCAAAGCAAACAGAAGAGATTCCTTTTCTCCCTGTCTTCATTTGTTCCAAAGTGTTTCTGAAGAAAGCAGGTCACTCAATTACTAGCTGTATTACTCACCCCTATGACTTGAAAAACAAGGAAAGAAAACGCAGTGAGTACATGTCTTTGAAGCTCCAGGGATAATTGAGATCAGCTGCACCTCCTGAATTAATCACAGTAATGCAGTGGAAGTATTGGCTAAGAAGATACTTTCATTGCAAGTTTCTAAGGCTGTATCTTCTTTTTTAAAGCAATATTTTTTGAGCTCAAATTTTCAACTTGTATTCTCCACCAATAAGAACAAAAGAACAAAAGATTTGAATGGCTAACGAAAGATTACCAACATTTTTTGTCAATAAAGAAATTACTGTTTTTGTTATTGGCTTAGTCCAAAACACTGTTGAAACCTTACATTCTTTAGATCTGAAAGTTTAGCAAGTCCACAAGCCTCTGTCTCACATAGCCAAGAGTAGACTCCTGGGCTAGCAGCAGTAACAGAACAATACAAGTATATTGCAAAGCTCTCCAAAACACTTCCAGACTACAAAAGATCATCAACAAGAGTGCAGAGAAGAAAAAGATTTTCTGATCAGGCATACACTGATCAACATCCCGTGGTACAGAACTTGTAACGTTTTACTGTTTAAATGTACTTCAAATAGCCACCACCTTTTCTGTACCCAAACCTTCCATCTGCTACTTCGGTTTGTTTCAGACAATGTAAAATCCGGAGGGCAACAATCCAAGTCACTCAT